GTATGGTATGGTGTATGGTGTATATGGTATGGTGTATGGTATGGTGTATGGTATGGTATGGTATGGTGTATGGTTGGTGTATGGTGTATGGTGTATGGTGTATGGTATAGTGTATGGTATGGTTTAGTGGATTAATTACTGCCGCATCTCTAACGAAATGGAGAATGGAAATTATTTGTCAATAATCTCTATATAGCGAAGATAGTTTAGTCTCAGAGTTGATTCATCCTGTCCAATATGAAGGAATTTTTTTAATCGTATCTGTTTGTTTTTGCACAGGATATTGGAGTAAGCGAAGATGCCATTCCTGATGTAGCAAAGGTATAAACTGATGATATATTTGGGCAGTAAGGCCCCCTCATGCACCACCCCATGGAAAACCTGCACCCCTTCCTGCAGATGTAGCTAGATCCGCTCTTGATTTTTGCATGCAGAGAAATTGATATTCCTTATCTCTCGTACAATATCCTTATTCGAAAAGACGTGAAGATCTGACTACTCCATTCCTCAATTATTTTATAACGTTTAGTCCGGAAGAGCCGAAAAAATTTTACCAATTCAGTTTGTGTCTTAGGCTCCAAGCGGTCTTCTGGAAGCTTTAGAAGCTCATTGCAAGTCCTTGGAGAGAGGACAGATTCCCGCCGCATCCAAAACAACGTAAGTTTAAACATGAAATGTTTTACTTGAATGTGATATACAGTTTGTAATATACAAACTTCGATCTTTGTGTGATGAGCATTCTTATATTTTATTTATTTATTAGGCTTTGCCAAATCAACTTAAAATCACTTGCTATACATACATTAACATAAACGATACATACATTGACATGGCTGGGTATACGCTACAGCTTTCGCCAATTACAGCGACCCTTTACACAATACAAGACAAACAAACTTTAAAATATCGGGGGTTAAAAGCAGAATACCCCACCAATTTCTCCTTATACGAAATTTCTGTATATTCAAGCTTACTAAATTCGTACCATGCAGAATATTTATATTTTAATCGTCGTTTAATATTCAAGCTGGTTTTAAACACTGCTCAGAGACTGACATAGAATTCTGCTTCTTCCCCAAAAAACTAACAACAGCACGATATGCAGTGGCGTAACGTTATATCAGGGGGCCCCCGGTTCAAAATTTTCGAAGGCCCCCTAGTAGAAGTGCCAAAGGCACGAGTCGAGCGCCGTATATTCACGAAATTTCTAGGGGTCCAGGGCATGCTTATCCGGAAAATTTTTGAATTTAGACTCTCTGAAATGCCATTTCCTGGACTTTGGGGAAAGATTTTACAGAATTCTGATGGTCATAAAACTACATTGTAACATATCAGAGGCCCTGACCAATGTTTTTGCTCTATTGCCTAAGCCTGGGGGCCCCCATTTAGGTTGGGGCCCCCGGGTTCTCACGGTCTGAGCCCATAGTAGTTACGCCACTGACGATATGGGACAAGACAGGTTACGAGACGTATACAAGACAAACATATAGATTTCCAAGTTCGAGGATCCTCTGCGTTGTAAACATTTCGTAAGGCAGATTTATAGTGTTTGAGAAGTCCGCTTTTAAATCCGTTAAATGCAGTGTTTTTATCTGTCAAGTCTTTTGGTAAAATGTTCCACACTCTCGTTGATCTTGTCAGGAATGACTTTTGGTATGTTGTGGTCTTGCATTTTTTTGTTGTAAACATCAAACAGTTCGGATCAGCAGATCTTGTAGCTCTTTCTCTATTCTGGATTGTTGGTATAGTAGGTCGTTGTTAATGACTATCATCTCATGAGTGCATTTGAAGAAGAAAATCATATCAAGAAATTCGTGCCAGTAACATACAGGAATCATATCTAGCATATCAAGTCTCTGGTTGTAACTGACCTCACAGAAGAAAGGAAGATCCAGAATGTACTTGGTTGCTCGCCTTTGTACTCTTTCCGTGCGCTTGATCAAGTTGGCTGATTGGGGAGGCCAAACTTGAGAGCCATAGCATAGTTGGGAACGGACAAAGGAGAAATATAGGGTGCGACGAACGGAGATAGTTTTTATGTCAAGTGTTGATCTTCTTATATATCCTAACATCTCACTTGCTTGTGTGCATTGACATTCAACATGTTTTGACCAGGTAAGGTTAGATGTAGTCCACACTCCCAAATCACATATATATATACCAAATTCCAGAATAATTATTGAGCATGCTCATATATCTACAACAATCCAGTAAGCTCATGAGCATGCTCATATACATGCCAAAATCCGGTATTCTCATCAGTGTGCTCATATAAGTGCCAAAATCCAGTATGCTCATGAGCCATCTTCTCTCCTAGGCACTTGAACTTAGCTCCAATAACCATCTCTCTGAAGAGCGAGCAATTCAACTTCAAAGAAGAAGAGCTCGCGGAACAATTCAGTCCGGACGAAAATAGCAATGAGGCAATCGACAGTCAACCCACCCTGCTTCAGAGTGCCCAAACCACAAATCCGGGGGGTGAAGGACCATGGCAGAGTTTGTTCGAACCTGCAGAAATACCTCAAGCCAACAAGACTACGGAGCCAAGTAATAACCAGAATGACTTGCTTGAGTTACATGCCGTGTTTCAAACTCAACAAGTAAGATTTTGAATCAATTGAAGAATTGAAAATACTACCGGGTGTCAGCCATTATTTATGGCTGAGGGTGGCACCGAAGAGAATTTCTTTCTTCGTAAAAATTTTGCTGATCCAACCATTAAAAAGTAAAAAAAAATTTTACCGAGCCTCAAATATAAATTAAAGCATAAATACTCACCCCTGGCCAAAAGCTACAAAAGGATACTATTCAGTTGTCACACATGTCCTTTATCATTTCTGTGACATGAGTTTGATAACTGCTTGTGCAATTTTCTGCAGACTAAAGTTTCATGTTGTCTGCACATGTGCTTTCTTTGGAGACACCGTTTGCCTCTTGACAAATCGGAAAATGATCAAGACAGTGGCTCTGATTGATCTACACATTATATTGACATATGACTGTTGACATTGCTTTTCAGTCTTCAATATTTGAGTGAGTCATGCTTTGAAAATGACAATAAGTTTTTATTACCCAACCCTTGAGTTGTTTTGTTTTTCATTTACCCAACCTTAGCATAAAATAGTCTATTAAAGTAATTTCAATTATAGTTAATAGAAAAGATGATTTGGAAACCCATTAAAAATAACAATATAATTTGTTATCTATGTTAGTCAACACGTTTATGCAAAAATATGGTCCTTCATTGTCACGTGCCTATTATATGTTCGCCAAATCCACCAATAGCAATTGCTTAAGTTACCCAATTGCTCAAGTCACAGATAGGTAACTTTTCTAAAACATAGCTATTGGTTAGTTGGGCAAAAATACAATACGCACGTGACGATGAAATATCATACTTCTGAATAAACCTAAACAAAATGATAGATAATGGGTTATATAACTTATATTGTAATTCTAATGAGTTTCCAAACTCTTAGCTTCTATGGACCATGGCTCCATTTAATCTGCAGCTTAGCTTATTTTAACTTAAAACGTTTGTGATTTTCAGGCCCCAGCAACGAACGCGTTTCCACCTAGCCCTAACTTTGGTATACCCGGCTACAACCCTGGGATGAGCCAACCTGTCATTCAAACTTCAAATCCGTTCGAAATCCATTCTGAGCTACAAAGTTCCAGTAACATCTTGCAACCAATGAATAAACCTGAGCAAACAGTTCAACAAGTACCTGAACAGCCCGCGAGGCAATCCTCCACGGGAGACCTACATTCATCGTTATCAAAAGTAGCTAAATCTCTTGGTAAGTGTGTAGGCAAATTTGAAAATTAAAGTACCATAAGGGACTATTCATATACAGGGTGTCCCAGAAAACCCAAAACCATTGAAATAACGTATTGTTAGAATTTGAATTCCCCAGTACTAAGCTGAACGCAATGATGCGTAAGATATTGACAGGGTGCAAAAATTATAAATATTGACTTATTAAGAAATTAAAATGTCTTTGTAAAGCACACGATTTTCTGCTCTTGGGAATTTAAAGCGGTTTCTTAAACAGTTTCTTTATGCATAAAATTTACTTATGTCAAGTTTTTATACATTTGTGGGTTCAACAGAGTGGCTGAGGCATTCAAATTCTAACGATACGTTATTTCAATAGTTTTGGGTCTTTTGGGACTGAATTTTTAAACTGTTCTCCCTGAAGATCCAGTAAAAGCTCTCAAAATTCTCAATCTGTTTTATTTTCAGATAATTTCGACTTGACTTCAGCTTGTCTCGGCTCGGGGAGCTCTGGACACCAGTGGACCGCGCCCAAACCCAAAGTCAAAACTGGTGGAGCAAATTTCCAAATTGGAACCATCGCAGGTAGCACATTACCCCCTGTATCACCTACCCTACCCTACAACGCCCCTCCTCAACCGACGATGCCCCCCACCGGCCTGGGGATGGGCCAACCCAGACCCGTCCTTACGCCGGGGTATACCCAGCCTCAAATGTTAGGGCCTAGACCCATGGCTTACGGACAACAGCCTATGATGCGACCGCAGACCACAATGTATGCGGCACCGCGTGCAAATGTGAACCCTTTTGGAAACCCAGTGCCACGTAACCAAGCCTTGTTTTGAGTAATGGTCACTGATCTGGAATTGAACTGGATGTTGAAGTAGTCTCACTACACTGTAGCTCATTATGGACTCTTTGAAATTTGCGGAGTTTCGAGAACCGTTTTTCGATTGACTGACAATTTCTGCTTAGTAATAGCATTAGTCATCTGATTTCATGCCAAAATGAAACATTGAAATAATTGAAATGTAGCAATAACTTGTAAATTAGTGGAATTAAATAAATTGTACATGAAATTGTTCAAAAGTGCACGTGCCCTTCTATTCATTCACACTATATGGCGCTAAAGAGGGGGAGTATGGGGGTGGACAGTTTTAATCTGATTTCACGCTGATTGGAAACTAACAGTTTACGTGAGAACACGACCAGGGAACGAGGTTGGAACACGACAATGTCTTTATCTGCTCATGGGTAGATGCCAATGACGGTAGGTCGTAAGAGGTCTGGGTTCGAGAGAACCAAATCCTACACCCCCACCCCCACCCCCTGTTTCTTTTCGTTCCTGCATAAATAACAACTTTATAAATGTCCTCACAGTAAAACAATCTTTGGCGAAAAGCAGTATTTTTATCGCTTTTAAAGCTTTAAATCATGGCTGAATACGTTGCCGACAAGTTGGATGCTGCTAGGCATTCTATAACGGGCTCAAACGTTTCAAAAATCGTCTGCAAAGCTTCGAGTCGCGAGATTTTTGGCCCTAAGAAGAAACATCTCGACTGTAAGTTTATGTATCTATTTAACAAACACCTGAGCTTATTTTGATGCTAATTTTGTAGTCATATTTCTTTTGAAAGCCGTTTTACTTAGCTGCATAATAAGTATAGGTATCTGTCGTGTTTCATTTGGTATTCAACAGAGTTTTAACCGTAAATTTCATTCGTTTTTTAGACTTGATAGCTTGCACAGAATCGGACAATATTTCGGTGCCAAGCTTAGCAGAATTGCTTTTTGAACGAAGCCATATGTCAAGCTGGGTGATCGTGTCCAAATCGCTTGTTACGTTTCATAATTTAATGTCGGCAGGCAACGAGGTTAGATTTCTTTTTAATTCCCGTAATATTTCTAAACCACTACGTGTTTAAAAGTGTGAAACTTCAACGTATAATCGAAATTATTCAGGCGAATTAATTGCCCAACAAACAACTATACTCGAGGCTGTAGGCATGTTGTAATATTGAGTCGCCTGACTTGCCTCATTGTCTGATGAACTTCGATATTTCTAGGACTTTTTTTTAAGAAATATGATATCTTTTCGTTTTATATAAACTAGCTGTCATATATCTTTAACTTTTCGACACCTGAACAACATTGCGTTGATTAAATCAAAGTTATTATGGAAGATCGGTCTAATATTATTGCCATTCAAAATATAGTGTTTTTTGCCTTGCTTGCTTTAAACAAACAAAATTAAACATTAAATTACAGAAGAGTAGAAAACAGTCATTTCTATGTTTTTATAGTGTACAATTGTACATTATATTATAAGATTTGTCTCAAATAATCTCAAACAATACATCAACTTGTTACATTATTATTTAAATGTGTGTATATAAAGATAGTTTAATAAGTATTGTGTATGTTGGTTTAGACAGAAGTATGTATTTTATAATTATGGGGTATCGTTGAGCGTTGAGTTGAGCTTTTGAACAGGTGTTCTTGTCATTAAAAAAATTGGCAAAGTACAAATCCTGTTTGTCTGTATGAGTTGACAAAGAAATTTTGGCAAAGTAATTTGAGATCTTGCATGCCGTTGGTCAGCGATCTATTGCTGCAATAGCTATTTTAAAAAATAGCTATTGAGTTGGTCATAAAACCAAAAAATTGTCATTGAAAATTTGTTATGCATACACACATGCAATTATAGACATACGAAAACTTGTCAGAACATTTGCTTGTCTGTATATTGCATACTGCATGTAGCTTATGGTCGGCCCAGTCTTTCAACAAGGTTGATTGCTATGTTTTGTCCGGACAAAATGTCCGACCAATTTAGCATTTGGTTGGAAAAACTGTGATTAGGTCAGAAAATGTCCGACCGTTATGTCAGGGCTCTGAAAATATAATCAATTGTAATTTGTAGAGATTTCTTCAATATCTGGCATCGAGGACAACACTATGGAATTTAGAAAATTTCCTTGATAAGTCAGGAGTTCTAGGTATGTTCTGATATAACCTTGAACGATCTGTTCGGATTCATAGAGATGCAACTATCTGGAAATACAAGGAGAACTTCAACGTTTCGAGCGAAGGCTCTTCGTGACTAACTTCGATCCTGATGAAGGGCCTTTGCTTAAAACGTTGAAATTCTCCCCATATTTTTCAAGTATGTAGTTGTGTCGCTATTAATCCAACGTTTTCTCATGTTCTGATAGTTTGATATAGTTTCTGAAATCCTTACACCATTTAATTTCCAATTTCTTGTGTGGGGGAGGTGTGGGTGTTAAATCACTGGAATGACCCAACAATTTTTTTCACAAAGGCTATGATATGTCGACGTTTATCAGAAGATATTCCCATTATCTAACAAAGAAGGCGCATACTTATACAGAGGCTGGTTATGATTTTTGCCGAATCGGCCGTGGGTAGGTGATTATATGCTAATGATCATTGTTTAACCCTTTAAGTGACAATGCGGCCCACTTTATTATTTTACTCTTTCTAATGCCAGACAATTTTACTCATCAGGGGGAGAGTGCTGCCACTCAATAATGGGTTAACACATTAAAACTTAATACATGTGTCATTTGCTGTTAGGCTGATATGCCATATTGAAACAATCAATATATCAATATTGAGAAAAAAAAATCGATAATATCGACTACAATGTGTATCACATCACAAATAGCATGAAACAAAAGGTCATCATTTTTATCACTTTTCCAGTAATTCCAAACAGGACTTTGTTGATTCGACATATTGTCTGGACTTTCCTTAAGTTTGCAACAGAACAGCGAGTTAGAGAATGAACTGTGATATTTCAATACTTTGTTTGTTAAACCAGCGCCGATACATGCCATTAAGATTATTATTCAAAGTAGTACAGATTCCATCTTTATGAGTCATCACACAGTTATTATTTTCAAGCACTCAACCATTTGTGTGGGTGGTGATATTCTGTGATGATACTTTCTTGAAAACAATTTGCAATTGCCAGTTGTCTAGTTAAAATGTTTGATGTTTTTGATATTTTTGAAATATCGATATTTATCAAAAATATCGATATTTCACATCAACAAAAACGCAATGTGTATTGACATGCAATGTATATAATTTATAATTAAAATTTTCTGAACAATCGGTTTTACACAATCGAAAAATATAGAATTCTACCAATTTTGATTGCCTACGAATAAGGCACAAATCGGCCCGATACCGATTATTGGTCAATCACTAAAGAATTCTTATAGGAAATTTTATTGCTATGAAAGTTCACATAGATATTTCTATAGAAATGTTTTTGTAAGGGTTGTCCTATCTCCCTTACCTTGGAGCTGCTTAAAGTGCTCTGCCTGAGCATCTGGTCATAACAGTTAGTGCTGTAAACACGTCTATCATCGATGACAAACCAATGTTGCTTTTTTTTCATACACAGACAAAACGGACAAATTAGAAAAATGGACACACCAAAGGTATTGTTTGGAATTCAAACAGTCAAACTTTTTCTATGTGCCGTTGAAAAATTTTCACATGAGATTTGTATTTTTAGATTTTGAAAGCATTACCACAAATCCAGCAACAAGTTGATTCTCTATTGGAAGTTGATGTTCAGTCAATTGAGTTGGGAAATGCCGTGATAAACAGTGCATTCGTCATGCTGTTCAAGGTAACTTTCTTTGATTCTTGTATTAATTAATCCTGTATATCCCATTCAGTGGCAGAGGCGGACCTGCCGTGAGGTACAGGGGAATTGCACCCCACCTTGTTGTGTCTAGCACCACAGCCCCCCCCCCCCTAGAGAAGTCCAGCACCACCTTAAAATCTGCTTGACTGTATAGACTTTTCAAATAGTGATTGGTGAAACCTCTACTGCTACTGTTGTTGCAGACTGCAGAGGAGAGTGGGCAGTTAGGCTCCCTCATGCACCACCCCATGGAAAACCTGCACCCCTCCTTGCAAATGAGGCTAGATCTGACTCATGTTGAGTGGCAATTGATTTTGAGTCTGCTACTTTTTTCTGATTTGCAAGTTATTATATTAAATATTATTGTGATTCATTTTTTAGGACTTGGTGAAGCTTTTTGCTTGCTATAATGATGGAATGATTAATTTATTAGGTTAGTATGTTGTGCAAATTATAATCAGTGCCCATTTCAAATGTCTCTAGAATAGCATTTCTTGCATTCAGAGACTAGTTCTCAAGAGAAAGATCATAAGTTTCAAGAAAGCAATTTTTATCATGATACCAATCATTGCACCCCCCTCAGAAGACCCACACCCCACCCTAACGCTAAACATTTGCATAACTTAGAGCCTTAAACGGACACCAAAACCCCTTTGGCATACACGTTGAAAATGTCGCCTCCTCCCCCAATATTTTGTGAAGTGTCGACCACTGATTAAACCACTGTAAACCATTTTGCCATCAAGAAATCTACTGTACAATATTAAAGACATGTTATAAGCTGGAATGTTCTGTATGACCTGTAGAAAAATTTTTTGAAATGAATAAGAAAAGCTGCAAAGAAGCTTTGGAAATCTACAAAAAGTTTCTATCAAGAATGGATAGTGTGAAAGAATTCCTCAAAGTGGCTGAGGTAGGAAATGAATGGCTTCTTCTTGTACTACAATATCCTTTATATTCTCATTGTACATAGTCTGTTAACAACTGAGCTACAGAGAGACCGTCGTGAAGCTCTAAGGTAATTTGTACATGAACTTGTGGTTAGAGCTCGCTGCTCGACAACTGCCTCTCTGTAGCTCAGTTGTTTAGAGCGCTGCACCAGAATCGCAGGGCCGCAGGTTCGATAACTGCCAGATGGTCGATAGTTGCATTTTTCACAGCTGCCCCTTGTTAGCGTAGGTTGTTGCAATGAGCATTAGTTCAGTACGCTTAGAAGAAACAGATTCAGCTTTCAGATACAAATTACAGTATACGTTAGCTCAGTCTTAGAGTTCATGCCGTCGGTAGACTATATACAGGCTGTCTCAAAAAAATGCCCCCATTTATATTTGATGCTTATTTTGATAATTCAAATATGAATGGATTAAAACGATAGGATAATCATTTTATCTAGTATAACAATCTGAAACTTGCAATACTACAATACATTACAAAACATATAGTGGGGCCAAAAGCCTGTATAGATTTGTTAATGAAGTTATGATTGTTTTTTCATGCATGGGTTTATGACATAAAGTCAGAAGGTATAATTGTTATGTCTTATGAGCCGATTTTTTGGCAATATTTAAATACACAAACATTGAGGCATGATATTTTTCCGTATATTTCAAAAACAATTTCGTGAAATTAATTGTGTACAGTCAGATAATATTTTATCACGTGTCTTGTTGGTTGTCGTGATAGGACTATAGATTGACAGAACTCTTTACGCTTTATGGACAGAGATCAAAGGTAACTGCGAATTAAATAAATAAATAAAATATCAGTAAATTAATAAATATAAATAAATGTATAATTTTAAAATAATTACTAAATTAATTAAATATACTAAATTACTATAATATAAATAGCCTAAGATTTTGCTTCAAGAAATTAACACGATTAAAATACCCAAATAGGTTACTGCCTACATATTTATCTTAAACTTGTAAATGATATGTTATTATGTACTGTTTAAAACACAAGCAAAAGTGCTTTATCAGAATGATATAAAACACCGAGTGTTAATATACCTGTATATATATAAAATGCCGAGTGTTTTATATCTGACAAAGCACACGAAATGCCATGCAAGTGTTTTGAATGGCCTAAAAACGACCCATCTTATGAGTTCAAAATAAACATTGTCTATAAAAACCGAGAAAATCAAAGCTAAAGTTTATGTAAATTAACATGATTTTTTATCACATATAAAACTACTGTTTTTTAATTGTTAATGAAGCATGTTTAATGATAAATTGGATTACATGTACATATAAATTTCAGGCAATCATTACAAAGTTATAAAGCAGTAAAAATTTAAACTTTCCACGAAAAAGTCTAAAGTTAAAGACAAAGTAACAAATTATGTACGTGGCTGATTTGCTTTTAAAAAGATCCAAATGTTATATTTAAGTTTTGTTGTGAGAACGCATCGCGTTTTAAGAAATATTTTGGATTAGGTATATGATGAACACATACTATATGGTACTTGAGGAATGAGATATCTTTGCAATAGATGGCATTTTAGTTTTCTATTTATCTTTTTAATAGCATTTTAAAATAGGAAACCATAGGAATGTTTTCTGTCATGCAGAGCAAGGATAGGTAGAAAGGAAGAAACAGATTGTCACAGTTTTGTTTAACAGAACGTGAGAATAATATACAAGAATAATTTCAGAATTGTCGTGTTTAAATAGTTAATCATTTTTGTCCTTCCATTTCATGCTAAATTGTTCTCTATTTAAATCATTGAATATATGTATATTACATCTAGGATGTTGGAATTAACCCATCAGACATCCCTGATCTCACCAAGGTAAATGAAGTGACTAAATTTTAAAGTGCCTATGCTAGAATTTTTTATGATTGAATTGCAAAGTTTATTTAAAATCATAATGCAACTTTTTTTTAATTAAACTTTGTTATCTTTCCTGTAGATCAAGATATTGGAAATATGACTTAAATGACGTCTTGCATGCAAATATGACTTAAATGACGTCACAGAAGACTGTTTTTAGCTTGATAAAATTGTCATTAACTTAAATTTGCAGACGAAATATAGTTCTTAAAGTATATAACATTCAATGTCAGTGGAATTATCACATGTTTGGCAAGGAAGCGTTATCTTTCTAAGAACTCATAACGTCATTTAAGTCACATTTGCATGCCAAACAAAGTCAAATATCTTGATATACAGGAAATACGACAAAGTTTTAGGAAAAAAGTTACATATGACTTTAAATGAACTTTGCAATTCAATCATAAAAAATTCTTGCATAGGCACTTTAATTAAAAATTTTATTTTTTAAAAAAAAAAATAGAATTGCCTTGTTTTAAAATTACTGTGCTTTTAATGTTAGGTTAAAATGTGTTGTTTTCTTTTCAGGCTCCGAGCAGTCTTATGGAAGCGTTAGAAAGTCATTACCAGTCTCTTGAAAAGGGGAAGGTTCCCGTTGCATCTTCCAAGTAAGAATGGATAATGTTTAAAACCTGTTTAACACTTGCAATTTTAGGCGTCTTGTGATGGACACTGTTTAATTTCATGTAACGTAAAAGCTATAAAAGCTATCGCAATGAAATAAAGATCATTGCATACAGAAACGACTAACTTAGATTTTGATATGTAACACTTGAATTTACATGCAATATTGACTGCGCTGTTGATGTTTGAACGTTGAACTACTGTTTTTGAAAATGCCAAAAATTAGCATAGAACAACCTTATAATTATCGATGTAGTTATACTTGTTAAATAATAAATATTTTTATTTTGGTTATATCTCGCTCAATTGTGCATGTAAATTGAAGTGTTATATATCAAAATCTAAGTTAGTCTTTTCTGAAGGCAGTGATCTTTATTTCATTGTGACAGCTTTTATAGCTTTTACGTTAAATGAAATCAAACAATGTCAAGTTTTTTTGGGGGACCCGGTGTAAAATAAAATTTTGAGAGTACATTCCAAAACCACATGTTACTCGTTGTTTCTCGTTGCATTTAGACGTCCCAATTTGCAGCCAATCAACGTGCCTCAATTAACGACAGAAAGTTTAAACAATCCAATCAAATTCGAGGACTACAAGAAGGAAGAATTGATCAAAGAAGAAGAACATAGATTAAATTCATTCAAGGTAGAATGTCGATTTGCTCCAGGGGTTGAAATTTAAAAAAAATTTTAGTCGCCCAAAAGGCTACCAGTTGAGTACCTGTGAATAAGATCTGATCTTGCTAAATCAATATGTTATAATGTTTTCGTTCAAAAACACAAAAAAACCCAAACATGAGCAATCATGCTTTGAATAGGGATGACAGTGCCTATTTGCCAGAGGAATACATACATCTCATTGGCAGGTGACGTCATCCCTTGGGTATTTAAGAAGCCACGATTGCAATTTTAGATCACCCCTGATGAAGACACTAGACTGGAGTGTCGAAACGTTGGGTCTTGATTACAATTCGACTGGGCTTTGTAATCATTTATTTGGATAGATAGATAGAAAGCTTTATTTACCCACGCTAACCCTATCAATTTCCATAGGGGGCCTGTCATGCATAAGAAAAATTACAGTAGTATAAGCGAAATATTACATAAATATAGTTATTTACAAATATGAGGTATAGTAACAAGAAGTACAAATTAGCTAGATAGTAGGAATGGTAGAATAATTATTTACAAGTAGTAGAACAAGTAGTCTTAGAAAATATGTGCAGCAATTTTCTTTTGAAAGCTTGACAGGGATTGACTTTCCCTGATTTCATTTGGGATAGAGTTCCATAGTTTAGCACCATCATACATGAAACTATTTTTCATGCTATTGGTGCGTGGTTGTGGTAGACAAAGACCAGATGAAATATTTCGAAGTTTATAATCTGTTATCTCATTTTTGTAACGAAAGAGGTTTGTGAGAGATTCAGGGCCTGTTTTATTTAGAGTTTTGTACATCATTTTTGCTTTTGCCTTTTTCCTCATAATATCAAGTGGTTCCCAGCCCAAGGCACACAAAGCAATAGTGTGATCTACGTCATTGCTCATATTTGAAATAATTTGAGCAGCTCTGTTTTGGAGCTTTTGTAGTCGTTTTGATTGTATTTCACCCAATACATCCCAAACTTCTGAACAATAGTCGAAGTAGGAACCAGAGTAGCGAGCGAAACATAATTGATATACCTGGTTGCAATGAACGAACAAACTTTAAGTTGTCTAATATATATACGTTCGCAAATTATGTGCAAAAGTAGAATGGAACACTTGACAACTGAGATATTTTGATCAGCTGAGATTTTGAACTCTCGCTAAACTAGGATAACCTATATATAGAAAAGACGTTCACAGCAATTTGAGATCTTAATGTAAAAACGATTAACAAAATGGTGCCCGACTATCTTTCAAGCAAATTCATACCAACTAAAAAACTAGTTTCATATTAATCTGACACTGCAATCGAGCAACGAAAAATTCGTTGGCTCCAGCGGGATTTGAACTCGCATCTTCGGGTATCTAGACCGCCGCTCTACCTATTGAGCTATCGAGTCAACAGGGATTGGTAGCGAGTCTTATCC